AAAAATTTAAAAATCGTACATGAAATAGATCCAAATTTCACAATAATCCGATTTCATAATCAGCCGTGACATATATTAATAGTTAACTGTTTTTTTTTTTTACAATGATTTGAAGTGGTGTACTATATGAGCCCTTCGCCTCAATAACTGTATACCGTAAACCACACCAGTATAGGGTGGTTTGTACTCCTAGACTACTCCGAATCTCTAGCGCTAGTTACGACCTAAAATTTCTCTAACCAATCAAATTTCAAAATCAGGTGTAACGTAACAACTGTTACTGTGCATTAACAAAAAGTTTTTCTTGTAAATTGAATATATCAATAGCACTTTCTACCTAAGCAATAATGAAAACTAAACCTATATAACATTAATTTTTAGATCAATCGCGATCCAATGAATAGATTTACTCTTTATATTAGGTTTATTAAAAAATATTATTTCAAAACAAAAAATTTTGTGATTAAAATTATCGTGAAAAATCTTAGGCGGAAGATCTTCCCCCGGCGCTTGATCGGAAGTGATCTACAGACATAGGATTTTCTTTACGTGAGGGTACCCGGGCGAGAGCTACCTCAATGGCATCGCGCAAAGGCTTAAGCATCTATGATCATATATATAAATATCTTAATTTTCAATATCAATAGTAATGAGTATTATGAATGGGTAATTACATACTTGTTCTGCCAGCATTATAGCTTTGGACCATTCGAATTCGCTAATCTGTATATCGGTGTTTTGGGACGTTTGTGAGGCATCCTGTATCTCATCACCGTCCTGACTCATATTTTTGACTTTATTGATTCGAGTCAAAGTCTCACGAAGTTTATCAACCATCTTTTTATTCTTCTCGGATTTATCTTTGGAGTTTAGCGATGTCCAAAAATGCCGTAGATACTCATTTCCCATCAGGTGAATGAGATGAACTTCTTTCTCAATTGGGGAAGGGAAGTTTTCTATAAGATGGTATTGTTCATGATCATTCATTCATTCACAAATGATAAAAAATATCTATAAGTATTAATTAACTCAATTACCCAAATTTGGTAATGCTTCTTTTGCGTAATGTTGTTTTGTCTTGATTAGTTCATTACATTTTTTTGTTGCTTTTTTAGCGTATTTATCACTAATTAATGACTGAGAAACAATGAACATGGATATTAACATTTAATATATTATTGTAATATAAACAACTCTTAAAAGCACTTACTACTGTCAAATTAGGCTTCCAATCAACGAAATCAACTTTAAATTCATTTAACACATCGATCGGAGACTAATAAGGTCATATCAATATTTGTTAGGAATATTCCCTATAATTACATTCATTGGTTTGTAATTTAACGTATAAACCGTGACTTTACGTTTTGCGAATCTTTCATTTCTATGTCATGGCCCTGTTCTAACTTTTGACTAGCAAAATACTCTCGTTGATCATGAATTTCTAAACGAATTGCGTTTTCTGGTTGTTCTTGATTGAGGTCCTCCATGGTGATATATTGTATATAATCCTCTTTTTGATGCCACTACAAGTTCGATAATAAACTTATAAATATTTAAATAATTAAAATTCAACATAAAATTTATCTCGAACCTGATTATTTTGTTTTGTTTTTTCCTTAGATTTCCGAGTTTTTGAACTGGAAAATAGATGATTAAGCGAAAAATTCCAATAAATTTTTTTCGCGATACGTGATTGGTTAGGTGTATCGGTTTGAAATCAGAACCAACCTCGATGTTTCTAAAATTCTTTCGCCATGACGATTACTTCGACGAATTAAAGAAAGAATTTTTTCCTTGCCCTGAACGCATTGTTATATCTTTTACCAACTCAACCTAAAATATTATACATATTATAACGCATTTACATAATGCGCAAACATGTATGCATTAATGTTGTTACCTCCATGTGATCTTCTTTGGTTGCACTTAGATCTCGAAGATTGCTGATTTTTATTCGCTTACGTCCATGCTCTCTGTGTTCTCTCTCTTGGTTTAGATCTAAATATTGTTTATGAACTTCTTGCTTAAAAAAACGTATGTAATGGAATAGAACAATAAAAGGAACAGTAAGATATTAAGAAATGCGCCAACCTTCCTCCGTCTCCTGCCAGCATCTCTCGAATAAATCATCGCTAACCACACTCGATCCATTGCTTCTGTTTCTATCATTAAACCTTGATTGAACATATCGTTTTCAAAATATCTACTGGTGGGGCTGATTACACGTTTTCTTTAAGTGGATGGGAT